AACTTTCATTCTTTAGTCATAAGGCCAAAGAGCAGTGCATAAGTAATATGAAAGAACACACATATCTTTATTGCTTAGTTCCTATATAATTTATATCATTTACATATACAAAAAGAAAAGGACATAACATCCATAAGTACAAAACTTTCTCAAACAAAAAGCTCATCTCTCAAAAACTTCCTTTCCAAAAGAGCAAAAGAAACAAAAGAAGAGGAAAATAAAAAGAAAAAAAAACGGACAATGCCCTTGGAATCTACACATGCAGTGGAACAGAGTCACACATGCGGAACCCTGGTCACATGTGCGAGGATGTGTAGACACCCCAATTTGACTGCCCTTAAGACTTGGGTGCTTCATTCCGAACACTTGATGATGAAATGTTATACTGTGTAATCTTTCGAATCTTCAATAAAAGAATTTAGTTTTAAGCTTCAAACCCAAACCTTGCACCCCCATTTGGACCAAAACCTGTTTTTCTAGCCTGATCATTCAAAAAGTGGCAAGACCAAAAAATGACCGGCAAGCCACATTCTTTTGGCTAGCCGGCCATGTTTAGCGAAATAGATATTTTGCAACAGCAGGCTGCTCCCATGCACAGGATTTGGCCAGCTGCTATCTTTTGAAGATATTTCCATTGAAAGGTGGTTGAAACTCTATAAATACAGCACATTCCCTCTAAATTTAGGGTTAGAGAATTGTTGGACAAGCCTAGGCGTTCCCTTAAAGCATCTATATACACTCTTGAATATAGATACACTATAGATACACCATTGAAGCTCAAACTTGAAGCTTTTTGCTGAAGTTTTGAATATAATTTCAGATACTTGAGAGTGTTTTGATTGAAGTTTGTGAATCAAAAAGCTCTTCCTCTTTTTAAGAGGTTGATCTTTGAACTCTCTTTCATCACTTTTTTTTTTTTTTAACTCTCTTGTGCTTTATCCTCTGTTTTAAAAATTGATTTTCAAAGTTATTTTAGGCTTTACAATGTGATTTGAACCTTGTTGAAGAGGGAAGGGTTAGCCATCCTTCCATAGGCTTATTCCTTAGTATTGCTCTCTTATTGTTCTTCATGTTCTTGCTTCTTTTCTTTCAATTTCAGCACTATTTTAGGTAGCTTTTGATTGAATATGAACTGTATATATGTGTTTAAAGTTTAAATAGATAGTTTAATTCTTGTCCTCTATTTCTCTTCGTTGAAGATATTGTAAAGTTCTCTTCTAGTTCCATCTTCGTAGCATGGAAATGGATGTTTCATCCATATTCTTACAACCATCTCTTCATAGCTTTCATTTCTTGCTCTTACTTAGTCCTATTCTAACTTTGCTTTGAAGCTATCGGAATCATTAAGGATTCTCTTCTAGTTCCTTTTGTAGCATGGAAATGGATTTCAATCCATGTTTCATGAGTAGGAAGAAGAGTCTCTTTGTTATCCTCAATGATGAAATCTTTTGTGTATAAGCTTTGTCTTCACTAATGGCTCCTTCCAAACCTATTCTTTCTAAAACTTGAGTACTTACTTGCTTTTGTTTTCCATGAGATTTAGTAGGTTTTTAGCCATCTCTTTGATTGCTTGTTTCATAATTAGCCTTAGTTAGTTTTGTATCCATTGATTTCTATCCTGTGGCCTCACTAATCATCATCTAAATACCGTTGGGATGTTTGGTGATTTGTGAAGTAAACCTACTCTCTCTTTGAAAATCTTCATGACAGGAGAGAGCAGGAAGGATGAACATCCTTCGGAAGCCTTCTGTTTTGCTTTATTCTAGTTCTGTTGCAGCAGAACCTTTTCCAGAAGTAGTAGCCAGCCGGCTAGTCCCCTGTACGGCCAACCAGTTCTCTAGGCCGGCCGACCATCTGGTTTGTACGGCTGTGGTGTCTTTCCAATGAAACAGAGCAGATCTCGAGGCCCAAAACAGAACTATTTTCAGACTATAAACAGAGCAGCTTCTGACAATAAGCAGAGGGGGTTTCTGGAGGATGTTCTTGCCTGTGCGTATATGATTGCCTGCCTTTCATTTAATTCCTTTAGATTAGCCGCTTTGATTCATATTTGTAATTAATTAGTTGCCTTCATTCGAATTTGTAATAATTAATTAATTAGTTCAATTATGTTTGTAATAATTAGTTAATTAGGACATTCGGACCCTCTTGTGCGAGGGAAAATTTGTATTATTTGATGTACGTTTTCCAACCCCCATTTCTTTCTCCCTTTTATTTACATGCTTACCATGGTTGTATATAGCATCATATTTTCTTTTATCATTTCCATGCTCTGTATCCATTTTTGCATGCATTAAGGTTCGGCTCATCATACTTGATGTCGTTAAACATTTCCTACATGATTATTTACACTATCTCATGTTTTGAGTTGATTCACATATCATATTAGTAGCCGAATCTAGTAATTACATTTTTCTATGCGCCGCATTAGCCATTTTGCATATTAGGGTCATGCATTTTTCTAACTATTTTCTTTTTTTCGACTTGCCTCGGTTGAGTACTAGGTGAGATTTTTTGCTTTAGCATATTACATGTGTGTTTGTGCTGCCATGTCAAGCATATTACCATGAGACTACGTGCTTATTTGAAATACCTTTTTGAATGCCTGGGGATGAAGGCTATTTTGCTTAAGTTGGAATGACTTTGATTATTGTACATATGAGCACGCTCTTTCTTTGAGTTGCGCATGTTCAAAAAACTCTTTCCAAGGAAGCATGAAATCAAAGCATTCCAAAGTAAATGACATTGTCTATACTTGTTTGCTTCACATAGTAATGTTAATATATTAATAATCAAAATATGAACATATAAAGACCAAATAGATGTTTGTAGTAAATAATCAATCATGAGAGAGTGAGGACAAAGGATAGATTAAAAAACAAAAAGTAAAAAGATGAAATGTATTAGACCATGACAGAGTAGGTACATATTAAGAGATAATAACTCACTCGATCTAATGATTGACATTTAATGTAACTAGTCTTAGGATATACTAGATTATCATTAGTGAATGATAAATTCACTTACCAAGATGCCGCTATACTGCTATACCAATTTATAAATAAATATAAACAACAACAACAACAACAGATTAGCAAAATTTCCCAATCTCTCAATACAAAATTTGCGATTCAGAACAGTCTAATCCACACCTGTTCGAGTTTTCTTGGAACAGAAAAGCCTATCATTTCATCGGCTAGTTTCCAGCCAGGTACTGGTGAGAACAATTTTGTAGTTGTAAAGGAAAGCTCTTCCAATGCTGATGGTGGTGGTTCAGCAATGAAGACGGCATCGACGTCGTTGGATTAGGCGGCAACATCCTCACCTCACCACCATCGTCATTGTCATCATCCTCCTCATCATTCACACTCTCCTCTGAATTGTCCTCACCACCATCTTCTCTATTATTCCGTGAATCAACCTATCTCCTCTCCTCCTCTTACTCCGACTCGACCGATCTCGGTCCTGATCCTTGTCTTGATCCCGATAATATCGATCCTTCTTCACTCAATTGGTCTATCTTCCTCTGTAAAATTATCAGAATCAAAATGAAGAAAAACAAAAAAACCGTCAAGAAATTTCAACCAAATCAATTCAAGAATCGATGGATTTAGAATTATATCTGAACAAGTAATCAAAATCGAACCTGGTGAATCTCTCAAGGAGAATGAGGAGAGACACAAAAAACCCTAGATCTAGGATAGTGAGAGAAAACGATAAGAGAGAGAAATGAAGAGAGAAAACAAAATGATGGAAAGAGAAATGGAGACTGAGGAAGACAGAGCACCGTTATAAAGTGGAATGCATGTTTATAAGAGAGGATAACGTGTGTCTTTTAATTTCACTTCCACAGCATTTTTCAAAAAACATTGTCTAACAAACGCGGATATAGCATTTTTCAAAAAACATTGTCTAACAAACGCGGATATAGGCAATTTTTGTCGTAGTGTCTCATCTTTCGCCAGAACAATGATTGTTAAACCTTGCAACGGTGTCAATAATTATCCACCAGGCCATGAAGAAAACAAGACTTGAATAATTAGAAGCATCCCTCTATGATTTTCTTAATCTATAGTTGCTTAAATTTAAATTTTCTTATTGAGTCAAATTTCATGAACTGAAATGCAAGAAGTCTTGTTACACACCTTAAAAACTCATTATAAATTCCTCTTCATATATATATATATATATATATATATATATATTTTAATTTTAAATTTAAATTTTTATTTCTTAATTTAAAAAATATATATATATTATTTTAAAATCCATGACCGCATGTAGCATGTAATGCATCAAATCACATGTTGCAAATTCATAAATTTCTTTTCTTTTTTTTTTAATATTATTTTTGAATCATGTTTGTTGTATAAAATTCACAAATTTTTGTTTCCTTCTCAATTCCTTTTCATGTTCGTCTTTTCCAATCAGTTGCTTGGAATGTATTATTTGCTTGGAAGTCGCATAATACTAACAGAACGTACAGATGGAATTGAGAATAAAGCCTCGTTTGGAAACCCTCTCTTTTAACCAAAAAGTTACTAAATTAACCAAAAAACCAATAACTCATACCAAAAAATCAAAGATTCTCTTTGCTCTCTACTTTTTGCACATCTTTTCGTAAAAAGTCAAAAAATCATCCCAAAACTCATATTTTAGCCAAATAGCTAAAAAATTACTAAATTAGTCTATTCCCAAACGAGGCCTAAGACAGTATTTTATAGCAACATTACAAAACGTGGCAAATGATAATACTTGCAAATCAATTGAACTAGTAATATAAATCATAAACAATAATTAGTAAAACTATGTGACAATCATTTTATTCAATTTTCTTTTTAATTCTTGGAGGAATTGTAATAACATTATCATACATGATTGATATTTCAAGAACCAACTGTTGAAGAACACCTTCACCTGAAAATTTACAAATGAATATCAGAAGAAATACAAAATAGCTAGAAATAAAATTCCAACAACACACAACACAATCCTCAAAGTCAATGGAATATCATCATCCATCCATAACGATATTCGTGTCATAACATATCAACTGTAAGAACTAGCATTTCTTATTGAGACTAGAACTTGTACAGAAGGAAATAGATTTCTGAATCAAATATGGAGAATTTACAAACAAAAATATTCTGTTATTAGGTGGGGAAAAATCAACGTACTTCAAACGTCGAATTAAGATCAACTAGGACAGAAATAAAACATTGGGTCAAACACTTCTTTGGTGTCATCAACTTCTAGAAAAGGGTATAAAAATGAGACTCATTGAGCGCACACGCATTACAGACATCACACTCCAACCGGGTTATTTTATTTCACCTCTTGGAAAGAATTGGTTTCATGCATTGAAGTCTCCTACCTTCAAATTACAAGAATAAGCATGGCACTCATTTAACCGCTTCGCTCACATGCATACCTTGTCATTACTGTTCTAGTGAGATTTTTGCTGTCCCGTACTAGTACCAAGGTCTCCTTGTGCACTGGTGTTCTGCAAAACTTTTGAAGGTCTAAACCACATCTTTGAAGCTTGCATCTTGCTATTTTAACAATGCTCAAGAAGTACCTGTCAGAAAACTGAGACAGATCCACAACAGTCAGAAAATTAACACTGAACAGGCTTGAAACTTTCTATTTTCAGTCATTTTGTGTCTATATTTTTATTTATATCTTCATGGATTCAATATTAAGGCCCATAACAAGGGGAAATTTAACTTTTTAATGTGTGTAGCTCCAACTCAATCCACCAAAGGATAAGTACACTAGGAATTAAACAGGACAAAAAGTACACTTGGTGAAGATATCATAAACAATGAATTATCAGAGGTTTCTCTTCAGTAGAGTTCAAAATGTTCTCAAACTCAAAAAGACCTATTTGCAAGCAACCACTCACATAGGAGCTAACCCCCAGTTCCTTCTCTTTGACCAATTGCGTACCATTCATTGTCATGACATGTAACAATCTCATCTATTCATATTTTTTTCTGTTAAATAATTTTTTTATTTTATGGATAGACTTAGCTATTTCAAATTTTATTGGTGTAATCTAACAGATAAAGAGAGATATAGTCCTGTAACTTACATTTGGAATTTCAAAGTCACCTTCACTTGCATCGCACACATCAAGAGACACTTTCCGAAGCATTGGCATCTGTAGTCATAACAAAAGGCACAACGAAAGATACAAGGTCAGACCTCTTCAGCAGGTACATAGGTTGTTAGCTCGGTACCAAAGAGGCACAGCTAAGAAATCATGCACTCAAAGGAACATGACAATGAAGAATTCCCAACATTCATTCTTGAGACTTCGTTAACTTTGAAAAAAGCTAATTAAACTGCAGCTCATAAACATGCTTACCATTGAAGCAGCAGCAAGAATAAAATTTTTCTGGATTCCAGTGCCCTGAAATGTGAAGGTTCAACTTTCGTTCAGCAGTCAAAAGTAGCAAGGTCAGATATAAAGGCCAAAGGACAAATGATACTGGAAACAGAATGTGAAAGAAAAATAGAAAAAATCAGGAAAGAACCATTTATTTCTCTCTTGTGCAGTACTAAAAATTTGATAAACATACTCAACTACTGAATGATCATAAAGTTTCAACATACCCCTCATTAGGTTGGATAAGGAACTACCTGATTCCTATAATAAGCTCAAAAGCCATGAAGCACGTGTACGGGTACTGATACAAGTATTGGTATGGTACAGATACATCGATACGATGAAATTTTTAAAAAGTAGGGTATGGGTAATGCAGGATACGTTCTTAAAAGATATTTATTTTTAATTTGGAGTAATGTAAAAATAGTAAAATGGTTTAGTTGGTTAAGATCCAACCTACAATTCACATTTAATCATGGTTATCAGAATCCCGATCCGGATCTTACGATCCTACAATCTTACGATCCATTTGAGTGCAATGGATCCGGATCGTGTAAAAAACTCCTTATAGGTAGGATCTTTCGATCCTGGTAGTGGGATCTTATAGGATCGTGGAATCCCGATCCGAATCCGATCCAATTTACAAGCCTTGTTTTGTATTGTATGACATATTTTGTTGTAAATTTTATATTTGTTGTCTAAATATCAATTTTTGTTGTCAAAATAAATAATAAAAATTAAGTAGTATTGAATCAAATAGACTAAGAAAAACAAACTAGGAAACAAACATTCAAATGTTGCGGTAATTTAAGAAAATTAAATAGTCGGAAAAACAAAATTAGCTTTAGCGGAGTCTAAGAAGGGTAAGATGATTGTAACTTTATCCTAATTTCTAGAGAAATTATTTTTGTGACTCGAATCCGCTCCACCAGGGATGCTAACGACAAACCTTATCATTCGACTAAGCTACTCTTTTGAGTTCTTAATCTATTTTCATATCCAATTTTGTTAAATATTTTTTCTTCACTTTTTATGCATTATTGTACATTGTAAAGTATTTTGTTATAGAATTCTTCTTCTTCTTCACCTTCTTTTTTGATAAAATACAGAACTTTTACCATCAAGTTTTCTATTGCATAATATTATATGTACATTTTACATGGAGTATTATATTTTTCACAATATCTTCACTTCTTTTTAATAAAATATAGGTTCATTTTGTGTATACTTTATAAGAAATATTTATTTAAATTAAATTATTATGTAATTTGTCTTTTTCGGTAGGATCTTACGATCCTCGATCCGATTCTACGATCCGATCCTATAAACACCTCCAACGATCCAACGTAGGATCCCGATTTTAACAACCTTGCATAAGATGCTCAGTTTGCCACTCCCATTAAAGCCTTTCAGAGTGACAGTGGCACTGAATATACTGATGGTGACTTTCGTGTGTATCTCGCAGAACATGGTATCCTTTATCAAACTAGTTGTGTCGGTACTCTTGAACAGAATGGTGTTGTTGAACAGAAAAATCGCCATCTTCTTAAGGTTGCGCATGCTCTTATGTTCACGATGCAAGTTCCTAAACAATTTTGGGGTGATGCGGTTCTTACCACTGCTTATCTTATTAACCGCATGCCTTCTAGTGTTCTTCAGTTGCAGCACCCTCTTGATTTTCTCCCTCACACTTCTGTGTCTCCCATCTCTCTTTCTCCTAAAGTATTTGGTTGTGTCTGTTTTGTTCATTCCTCTCGCCTCACTCGGAGCAAACTAGATCCAAAGGCTATGCGTTGTGTTTTTCTCGGTTATTCCTCCACCCAGAAAGACTATAAGTGTTATGATCCTCACTTTCGTAAATTCTATGTTACTATGGATGTTATTTTTTGTGAGTCTGAATCCTTTTTTTCGAGTCAATCTCTTCAGGGGGAGGCTTTTACATAAGAGATTGTTTCTTCTGATCCTTTTTTCTCTATCATTTGTAATGAGGGAGAGGTGCAAACTGAACGTATTCAGGGCGAGTCTAGTAGGTCGGATAGACTAGATCTCAGGACTTACACTCGGCGACAAAAAGAACAGCCATCTCATGTGCTTCTATGCCCATCGCCACATCCGAATCCAGTTACTATTCTGTCTGTGGATCCTTTAGGTAATGAGTCCTTGGCCACTACTCCTATTCCCGTTGATGATCTTAATCTTCCTATTACTAGTAGGAAAGGAGTTAGAATTTGTACTCAACATTCTGTTTCTAATTTTGTGTCGTATGACTCCTTATCTCCATCATATCGTGCATTTGTTTCGTCTTTGTCTTCTGTATCTATTTCGCAGGGTTGGAAGGAAGCACTTAATGATCCCAAGTAGAAAGAAGCTATGGAAGAAGGGATGAGAGTTCTGAGTAAGAATAACACTTGGGAGTTAGTTTTTCTACCATCGGGAAAAAGGCCTGTGGGCTACAAATGGGTGTTCACCATTAAGGAACGAGCAGATGGAACCATTGAACGATATAAGGCGAGACTAGTTGCTAAAGGGTTCACTCAAACTTATGACATTGACTATCAGGAGACCTTTGCTCCGATGACTAAGATGAATTCTATCCGTGTCTTGCCTTCTTGTGTAGCGAATCTGGGGTGGCCATTGCAACAATTGGATGTAAAGAATGCTTTTTTCCATGGTGATTTAGGTGAAGAAGTGTACATGGATGCTCCTACTAGGTTTTCCTCTCCAACTGTTGTTGGGAAGCTCTGTTATCAGAATCTTATGATTCGCGATTCGATTCACGATTCGATTTGCAATTTTTGCAAAATCGATACGAATCTAAGGGTGAATCTATTTTAGAAGTGAATCTCTAGTGAATCGCACGATTCACAATCGATTTATGATTTGATTCGCTTTTTACGATTCATGCAATTTTTAAAATTATTATTTCTGACATATTTTCAACTCTATTTTTCCTCCATCTTTTTAGTAAAAATGACATAATACAACTTCTAATAGCGTTTAATACCAAAATAACCAGCATATATACATAATTTGTTGTTATTTTAGTGATCATGAAGGTTTTAATAGGATCCAATTAATTTTAGTCAGACCCAACATATGTTTAACCTTTCTTCTCATTTTTTTTTTCCTTTAAAAAATCGTAATATATTTTCTAAAGATGTTTAAGATTAAA